ATTTCTGCATGAAAAAATGGCAGCACTGACCAAAATGGCTGTCAAAATTGACTTTAACCTACAAAAATATTAATTTTCAACATTTTTTTCTCGAGTTCTATTCGTTTCCGAATAAAAAGATTTCGTGTACGCGTTCCTAATAATTAATACTTTCCGTGACAAAAATCTCAGCTCGGTACTCAACCATAACTAATGGAAAGCTGAGCCCTTTTGGCAGAAGTGATGCTGCCTGCCTACTGTGCGCGTAGTGTATCCTGCAACAGAATTCCCGCCCATTATTTATGTTCAAGATAATGCACTGATACACACGGCCCGTGCTACTATGGCGTGGTTCAACATGCACCGTGACATTCGTCCCATTCAATGGCCCGCTCGGTCTGCTGATTTAAACCCTATTGAAAATTTATGGGGGCTTATGGTTCAATGCTGACTGTCAAAATGAAAGGAACCCTCATGATCTTAGATCACACTGTACTCGAGTATGGGATGATCTCAGACCAAATAAAAAGTATTTGGTCTGAGGGGATGATATTAGAGGAAACGATCTATGCGCGCATCTTGTTGCATCAATGCGAGATAGACTACGTGCCGTCATAACTGCAGAGGGATGTTATACTAGATATTAAATAAAGATTTTTGAAGTTTCTATTTTATTATTTCTTCATATTCTTAGTTATTAAACTAAAATATTAGATTTTTCAATGGTTTTCTATATTTGTTTGACGTCACGGCTAGTACAGAGGTCGTCGCCTACTGCGCAACGGTTCGCGGGTTCGATTCCCGTACGGCACAGATATTTTGTATGGCCTACAGAAATTTGTCCTGATCTGGGCGTATGTGCATGTGAGATTATTTGTTTGAATTACACCTACGATAGATACAGAAGGAAATCCTAGTGTGAGGTGAAGTATTCAAAATATATATATATATATATATCAATACTTGATGGTAGTCAGTCCATCGCTGTAGTCCTTAGAGCAATTGATTGTCATATTCAATTAAATTATTATGAAATAGACATGTGTGCATGCAATTATGATCCCCAAGGTGGTAAACATTTTCTGACCGCAACCGTACTAAATGTTATGTTATCTGTGGTGTACAATAATGTGTTTTGTATTGTAAATGTAGCTAACAGTTTGTCAGAGGGAGAATCTTTTTGGTTAAGATTAGTGACTTTTTTAATAAGATTCCAGATTGTGAACAAAATATTCCTAAGAGTTACCCAACTGTAGTTTATTCACCCATTTATCATTTGAGAATCTCATCAGACTAGGTATAGGATTGTGGGATCTCATTACTATTAATTTAACCCTTTGTAGACTCGTGTGACATTTCTGTAACAAACCTCAATAATCCCACTATAATGTATACTAAACATTTTATATCATTCAAATCAATGTCACTGCATTGTAACATACCACACCGAACATTTTATTAGCAAATACAAATCATAGATGGCGTAACTGGTAGTTTTAGCAAGTTCAAATTTCGTGTGCTTATGAAAGTGACAAGTCGAAACTCGTTGAAAGTTTGAATTTTATAAAAATTTAATAAAAGTGTGTAAAATTGTAGTTCTTTCGTCAAAACCTGTAGGTAAGTGAATGATTGTGTTCATTTATGTGTTAGCAAAGCACATTTTTTCTTTTTTATGTAGAAAATGTAACTTTATGTGTTTGTAACATTTCTGTTACATTGAGTGATGATGAAAGAATTAACTGTAACTAAAGTATGTGGATGTTGATGTAAAATTATGTCATATTATTTCAGAATGGAGTCAAAATCACTGAAGGATCATGAAATATGTGACTTACTGCACCAATATGATAGCGAAGATGGATTAGAGGACGATGATGATAGCGTTATTGATCCAGATTTTCAACCGTTATCAGAAGATTTAGAAGTTTTATCTGATTGTGAAGAAGATAATGTAGTTGATGTGGATGCAATTATTGAAGAATGTGAACGCAGTGAGTCTATTGCTGGCCCCTCATCTGCAGAGCCTGAACAGCAAGATAGCCATTCAAATAAAACTTCCACTAATCAAAAGCGAAAAAAACGGCAATTACAATGGAAAAAGAAAAACCTAGTTCTAAACGACCAGCAGTTACGATTTACAGGAAATACTACTTTAATGCCGAATTTACTTGAGCTCGATACACCAATTCAATTCTTTTTATATCTTTTCCCCAAAGAGTTGATAAGTTTTATTACTGAACAAACAAATCTCTATATAATACAAAAGAATCCTAACCAATCCTTTCAAGTTACTGATACCGATATTCAGCAGTTTATTGGTGTAACTTACATAATGTCATTGATAAAATTGCCAAGAGTAACTAGTCATTGGAACACATCTATTGGTACTCCCATGATTCAAGAAATAATGCCAAAGCAAAAGTTTGAAAAAATTAGACAGTATATCCATTTCAATGACAATTCTAAATTACCCCCACGTAATGCAACCAATGGTGATAGGCTTTTCAAAATAAGACCTATCGTAGACACTTTGAATAGGACTTTTAGTGGAGTCCCATTAGAGGCATACCTTTGTGTAGACGAGCAGATTTGCTCTACTAAAGCAAGAAGTAATCTGAAACGATATAATCCCAAGAAACCACACAAATGGGGCTACAAGATTTTTGTACTAAGTGGAGTCTCAGGTTTCGCCTATAAAATTGAACCTGAAACAGGAGCTGAAAATGTTGTACTTCCCGATGAACCAGATTTAGGAGCATCTTCAAACATAGTACTCAGAATGGCGCGGGGCATACCAAGACATCAGAATTATCAACTTTATTTTGATAATTACTTTACTTCCTTAGCATTACTGGAGTACTTAGCTAAAGAGGGTATATTGAGTCTTGGGACAGTACGACGCAATCGCATTCCAGATTGCAAACTACCCGCTGACAAGGAAGTAATGAAAAAAGAACGCGGCTTTTCCGTTGAATATGTGGCGAATATGGACGGAATCGATGTGTCAAACGTTATATGGAAAGACAACAAAGTTGTGACTCTGGTGTCATCTTTTGCTGGTGAATTGCTGAAGGCCCAAGCCAGACGTTACGATAAGGCCAATAAGAAGTACATCAACATCGATCGCCCCCATATCGTTGGAGAATATAATCGGCATATGGGAGGCGTAGATTTGATTGACAGTATTATGGGAAGGTATAAAATTTTGATACGAAGTAAAAAATGGCAGGTTCGGATGTTTTATCACTTATTAGACCTGACTATGGCAAATTCTTGGCTGTTATATCGAAGAGTAAGGCAGGCACAAAACTCCAGTGACAAACAATTGTCTTCAGCAGATTTTCGACTTGAGATCGGTGAGACTTTATGCAAACTAGGCTTGAAACCTAATATCAAGAACCGAAGGTCAATTTAAAATGAAATTCAAGCAAAAAAACACAAGGGGCCAGCTCAACATGTCCCCCCATTGGCGGTAAGGCAGGATCAAATTGGCCACTGGCCGATTTGGGTAGAAAAAAGGATTCGGTGCAAGTTTCCCAAATGTACTGGCGTATCTCAATCAATTTGTGAGAAATGTGGAGTAGCGTTATGCTATAATAAACAAAATAATTGTTTCAGATCCTTCCATACCACTTAAGTAGATTTTTTTTTAGTTTCACTCAATGTTACAGTAATGTTACATTCCCTAAAATGCCAAATAAATAAAAAATAATTAATATTTTTTAATTTTTGACAAATACGTGTTTTTTTATTTGTTTAAACCTATCATATTTCAAAGTAATTATATTTTTTTATGATCTTGGGCTACAAAGGGTTAATGAAGTGAAACAATACAATTCATATAAAATTATATAATTTATAGCTTACAAGTAATACTTATATAGGCTTAATTTTAAAGTGAAGACCAATGAGTGAAAACACCAAGCACTTGAGATCTTGAACAAGGTAGTAGAAACAACGCAATCCTTCTGGGTCCCGGGACTGGTTTACATCAACCAATGAGCCTGTTTTAGATGTTGTGAAGGATATGTGTTCTTCACCAATCACTATCTCCAATTCCTGACAAAAAAAAAGTTTTTTTAATATAACAAAGTTTAAAGTAAAATGCTGAATGTGTATAGTGCAGGAACTATTGAAGTGGAGATAGATCCCTGAGCTGGGTGAGACCAATGCCCCACATAAAAAAGGCCATTTTTCACAAGGTGGCCAAAAACTTTATATTGTTATAAAATACTTGAACAGATTTTAATGTTTAATGCATTATTATTAGCATCTAAGATTTTTTATGTCAATAACTTAAATTAAAAACACCAACACCTTATTGGCTGGCACTTAGATTTTTTTGAAGTGAAAACTTCTTTAGCGGCATTGTACCCTTTTTTTGTATGGGTATAAAATGATAAACTGGCATCAGGACATGTGGCCTGATCGAAAATTCGTAAGAAGAAAACAATCAACTTTCAATATATTGGACGAAATTAATATTTTATATTATAGTAATATGTCTTTATCTACGACATCCAGGTGGCAGCTTTATTGCGAGGAAAATGCATTGTATTTACAATAGATGTCGCTAGGTGCACTAAATGATACTGATAATTAAAGCAATTTCTGCAAAATTATTCCCTAACCATTCCAAAATATCAAAAATGCACAAATGTTAGAATTCAAGTTTTCACTTCTGCTGGCACTCCTAGAGTGCAACCTGTCGTTTTTTTATTTCAGTATTTGATTGTAAATGTCCTGCTTTAAAAAACAACAAGTTTCATGAAAACTCAATCAATCAATATATTGCAAGATTTATTACAATAGCAGGCAGGTTTAATCACAATAATCAATAAATTAAAACATTTCCAAACATGTTTTTTCTGCAGCATATCATGTAACAATGCTTGATGCATTTGGTAACATTTTCTGTTACAAATTTTTTCGATGTTTCATACCAACTTGTAATATAGTAGCGGCTGTCTGGGATTTTGTCTTGATAAGATAATATCTTATAATAAAGACTATGAAACTAACCAGGCTTTCTATTGGCAAAAGAATTTTTTTCTTAAGTTATATCCTGTATAATATAAACAATATTGTTATGCATACAGCATTCCAACTCAATTCTTTCAGCAATCCCTTTGCTGCTGGTAGTGGCAGATGAAATTTAGAGCTTCACTTGACTTGGGATGGCGAAATCCATGTGAGATCTCCGACCAGCCAAAAATGTTAATGTAATGATTTATTAGTTAACAAATGATAGAGATCGCGAAAAGAGTAAAAGATAGACAATAGGGTTTTGGTTTTAAAGAATAGAAAAAGTCTTACTTGTCTCCCGACTCTATCTGGCTGCGGCCACAGATGATCATCTTCATGCATGATTTCAGAATCCAAAATAATACGTTTCAATTCCTCCATTACACATGGATGTGCATACGCTTCCTTCCGGATCATAGTATCATTCTTGTAGTTAGAATTATTAGCGTAGCGGAGTTTTCCATCAGGCCGAAATTCGAATTCTAAAAATTCATGACCGAACTTTCCCTTATGTCCTACGTAATAGCGGATGTAAAAATCTGTGGACATGACTGGTATCTTTAATCCAGAATTGTAAACATGTAAATTACAAAATGTATTTACTTTGAAATTTAATTTTATTTAGCACAGTGTTGCCGAACGTAGAATCCAATGGAAGCGTGTGTTTTATGTAGGGACACGAAAAAAGTATCGATACTTTGTGGTATCGAGTACTTTTCCTTTCGATACCGATACTTTTGTACTCGATACTTTGTATTCGATACTTTTACTAAATGAGTAATTTTTGGCAAGTATCGATACCTTTAAAAATTTGGATAAGCGCCTCATATTGATGGCAACGCCATCTTGTTAAATCATAGCAAACCTTGTAAAACATTCCACTGCGTTGTTATAAAGTCAGTAACTGACTTAATTAAATTCTTTCTAATCTATGACTGTGTTTATTTTGCGCTTTGTTTTTTTTTATATAAAGAGGTAGGCAAATGACTCTACCCCACCTGATGTTAAGTGGTAATAAAGTCCATACGCGAAGATAGTTAGTTAAAGTTTTGTTTCATAGTTATTTATTTAGCGACCATATTGTTAGGAACTGTGATTGATTCGCCGTTTATTGTGCTTTTCGCTTGACTGTATTTGATTTATTCAAGTGTAACACTATTATTCTGTCTGCGCTGTGTAACCTATACCTATTTGAAACCACGGACCTGAAAAACGGACGGACGTAACCTCTTCTATAATTATAATCTTGAGTGAAGCATGCCAATGGCCGCCGTTAACTGTGTGTCAGATTCAAGTTAACATAAGTGGGTATAATGTTTTTCAATGATTAAAATTCAAGAAAAGTAAGTTTAATTAGAAACAAATCTGAAAAGTTTCATAATTTTAAATTGTTTAACATTTCGATCTTTTTAATTAACATTTTAATTATGAATGTAATATTAATGAACACTTTTTTAGTGTCAGAAATCACAGCTATTTTCTTTTCATTATATAATATAGCAATTTGTGAATTTACATGTCCTTTTTTTGTTTTTGATTATACGTACTATAATAAAATTTGATTGTTTTTCTTTCAAGTTTAACACGGGGCGGGGGGGGGGGTTGCTCATCATGCCACAGAGGATCTGATAAGGCCCTATAAAATGTACTCGATACTTTGAAGTATCGATACTTTTGTTTCGATACTTTGAAGTATCGATACTTTTGTTTCGATACTTTTACGAGTACGATACTTTTTTACCGATACTACTCATGAGTACAGTATCGATACTTTCTATTTGATATCGTGTCCCTAGTTTTATGCGGTGATCGCTGACGCTGGCCCACAGATTCACTGAACTCTCGTAGAGATATTGGTGTCGATTCTGGCGTGATTCTCTAAACTTAAAACTAAATTTAACATCAGTCTCACCTTCTCATTCTGTATAGAGAAGGACAAGGATGCACTGTTGTCAAATTTAAGTTTAGCTTTAGAGAATCATGCCAGAATCCACATCACTGTTCTGTTCACTGAACAAACAAACAAGTAGTGGAGGGAGCAAGAAATACCACAGACTACTTAGTTACTAAAGCTACAGTTACACATGCTGATTACTAGCACGAAAGCATGCCACTATTGAGCAATTGCTACTTAGTAGTATGTGTGTCGAAACATTGTTGATAATGAGTATGCTCATTTTGAGTTTGCTCAAAAATCAACGGTCGTGCGATTTTTGGGCATGCTACCTGCAGCGCGGGTGGAGGGGGGCGTGCTTTTAGCGCGTGTGAACAAGTTTGCCTATTGAGCATGCTAGTATCGATCAGTCGTTCGCAACAGGTGCGTGTGCACCATCTTCACGCAAAATGTCTCGCTGGGGCGACGAAAAAACGCTCAAATTTGTAAATTTATACCGAAATCACGAGTGCTTGTGGAATCCCCGCATACCGCAGTATAAAAATAATGTTGATCGAAATAAATCTTCTAGATATCTAATCACGAACCCAAATCTTTCTCTTTCTTTTCTTTTTTTGCCGAGCTGATATAAGCTTCTGGATGCATTGCATCGCCAGCAAAAGGATGATCTTATTCAGCTCCATACGAATAGCTGTTTGATTGTCCATGGCTTTGTTTGAACTGACAGAGTGAGAGAGCATGCTATAAAATGGCATGTGTATTGGAGTGTTTGCTTTGAGCATGCTAATTCAGGAGCATACTTAAAACTAGCATGCCTATTGCTAGCAAATGTAAACTGCTCATAAGCATGCTCATATTGAGCATACTCAATAGCATGCTTTTTAGCATGCTATTTTAGAGCATGTGTAACTGTAGCTTAAAGGCAGAAACATATTTACGTATTGTGGCGTATATATATATATATATATATATATGAGTGGTCATGAGGCGCTCAGGCCATTATCGAAAATGGTTTAAGTCCTCTACGCACTATCCATCTTGCTGGATCCAGCATGCGGGACAGCGCTATACGCGTAAAAGAGATCCTGTATCTCCATCTCTTTTACGTGTATAGCGCTGTCCCGCATGCTAGATCCAGCAGGATGGATAGTGCGTAGAGGACTTTATTGTTATGCCAGTATTTTTTTTTTACAGAATATAGTGCTTTAATAGTGCCCACACTATGCAAAATTTCATAATCGTACCTAATAAGGGAATAAAGATATAGAACAAGACTTATACATAACCTTTGGAGCTAGCGTAATGGTAGCGTATCCCAAATAGTGATATAGCAAGCGAACGTCTTTTTTAACATATTTTACATGTATAAATAGTGCATGAAATACTTCCTCTAGTTATATAAAATAAACTAAACTGGTAAATAATATAATATAAATAAAATAATCTGGTAAACGACCAGTCTCGAAATCGAGGCCATGTAGCTCAAATATAATTTACACACTGGCCTTAGTGTGCAAATGCAAGGAATTAGAAATGATTTTAGTTTTTGTTAATTTTTAACCTCAAAATTTTAAACTTTAATAACACTAAAAGTTAGTATTTACTTTGGTGGGAAGAGGAGTTAAGTGGGGTTCCTAACTCCCTTCGCGATTCCTGAAAATCCTGTACCACCAAGAAATCTCGACGTCTGTACAATCTTCTTTAAAATACATAAAAAATAGATTTGTAGTAGCATGGGTTGTGTTTTCTTTGCCTTCCTAGAAAATAGTGAATTTTAAAAAAACATCAATGTAACCTCAAAAATTCAAAATTAGAAGAAGTACGTGTAAGTACCTTCCTAAAAAGCCTTGGTTTTATAATTTGGCAAGATAGGTAATTTTCCAATTACAGCATTATAGCGCATTATGCGGCATAATGCTTGACTTTGAATGTTTCAACTACAGCAACGCTTCGCACAATCGTGCACTCTCAAAAGTGATGCTTTCGTGTGATGTGTGCGATCGTACCAACTCAGTGACAGAAAATTAACAAGTGTTTTTTCTTTAAGTTGGCATTAATCGAAATGTTTTATTTAAATTTCTTCTCTGCTTTGCCACCTGAGGGTGCGGCCAGAGTGCACTCAGATTCAGATTCAGATTCAGATTCTGAAAACAAGCGCGACAAATAAACAGTGTAGTCTAAGCAGGTGCCTGCTTTTTCTCGCGCTTTGTTTTCTGAGTCTGAATCTGAATCTGAATCAGGAGTGCACTCTGGCCGTACCCTTCGGGTGCGGCCAGAGTGCACTCAGATTCAGAGTCAGATTCAGATTCTGAAAACAAGCGCGAGAAATAAACAGTGTAGTCGAAGGGTACGGCCAGATTGCACTCCTGATTCAGATTCAGATTCAGACTCAGAAAACAAAGCGCGAGAAAAAGCAATCTACCTGCTTAGACTACACTGTTTATTTCTCGCGCTTGTTTTCGAAATCTGAATCTGAGTGCACTCTGGCCGCACCCTTCGACTACACTGTTTATTTCTCGCGCTTGTTTTCAGAATCTGAATATGAATCTGAATCTGAGTGCACTCTGGCCGCACCCTGAGAGGCTATTGTCGTTGATGATATTGTTTATTGTTGAAAATTTTTTGTAAAGTTTTCGTTTCATTGTAGTTTTTTTACCGTACCCTTCGGGTGCGGCCAGAGTGCACTCAGATTCAGAGTCAGATTCAGATTCTGAAAACAAGCGCGAGAAATAAACAGTGTAGTCGAAGGGTACGGCCAGATTGCACTCCTGATTCAGATTCAGATTCAGACTCAGAAAACAAAGCGCGAGAAAAAGCAAGCAACCTGCTTAGACTACACTGTTTATTTCTCGCGCTTGTTTTCGAAATCTGAATCTGAGTCTGAATCTGAGTGCACTCTGGCCGCACCCTTCGACTACACTGTTTATTTCTCGCGCTTGTTTTCAGAATCTGAATATGAATCTGAATCTGAGTGCACTCTGGCCGCACCCTGAGAGGCTATTGTCGTTGATAATATTGTTTATTGTTGAAAATTTTTTGTAAAGTTTTCGTTTCATTGTAGTTTTTTTTAATAATCAAAGTTAATTTAAACTGTGTTCAATTATTATGTATACCACTTTATTTACACATTATTGAGGTTATTGCTTACTGTATGAATATTTTTTTTCAAGAATGAAATTAGCGCACTCTGCTGGTGCGTTTTAAAACTAATTCACGTTCCAAATAAGCATCAGCATAATTCGGCATTGTGCGCCACTGAGTCGCATGCCCATGCTCTGTAATTGGAAAACTACCATAGTGGTGTCGATTCTGACACGATTCTCTAAAGCTAAACTTAAATTTGACAACAGTGCATCTTTGTCATTCTCTATACAAAATGAAAGGGAAAGACTGATGTTGAATTTAGTTTTAAGTTTAGAGAATCACGTCAGGATCGACACAAATGACCTCTATTTTAACTCGTATGATACAGGTCATTTTTGCACTCCTTTTCATTTAGCCAGATTAGGAATAGTCAATGGCAGTATGTGTAATTGCGGCGCTGATGTTGGCGATTTAAACCATATTTTTTTGCGTGCTCCTTAAATGACTGTTCTTCTTTTATTGACTCATTAACATGACTTCTTATTCCTCTCCCTACTTCTTTGAATACTTTGCTTTATTCAATGAAGTCTGATATTTATTTATGTATTTAAAATTTTATCCTGAAACTTATTATTAAACTGTAAATACCTTACCTCATGCTTTCCTTTAAAATTTCCATTCCTTTTTTTTTCTTTTCCCTACCTTTACATTCGCATGTGGCTGACGCCCAAACAATGCAGGTTTTAAAGGAAAATAGGTACCTAGAAATTCAAGAATTCTACAATTTATTGTAATTTTTTTTGTTCTGTGGCTGTTTCTGTTTAACACAGAAATTTCGTCAATATCCCGTAGTGAGAGAGACACGATAAGAGAGAGATTGCTCGGTAATTATACAAATATTTTTTTATATTTTATCCAAATAACCCTTCTTCCTTGAGTTTTTATTATTGTTCTTCTGAAAGCATAACACACGCAAAGACAACACAGGTTTAAAATAATATATAAAGTGTATGTAATTTAATCGATAGAGAGAAAAAAAGTTAAGTAATATTTAGAGGAACGTTATAGTTTTATATTATATTTTTTAATATATTTACTTAAACAATAAAAGCCAGGCTTGCCAGAAACTGTTAAAATAGTGTCAAGGTTAACGGGACGCTGAGTTTTGGGTGGAAGTAGAGGATATGGAGACGGGTGTTTCTGACAGTTAAAGAAAATATGGTCTGTGGTCCCTTCTCCAAGACCGCATTCGCAGATAGAGTTATCTGATTCTTATCTTTGGGTGCGGCCAGAGTGCACTCAGATTCAGAGTCAGATTCAGATTCTGAAAACAAGCGCGAGAAATAAACAGTGTAGTCGAAGGGTGCGGCCAGAGTGCACTCAGATTCAGATTCAGATTTCGAAAACAAGTGCGAGAAATAAACAGTGTAGTCTAAGCAGGTTGCCTGCTTTTTCTCGCGCTTTGTTTTCTGAGTCTGAATCTGAATCTGAATCAGGAGTGCAATCTGGCCGTACCCTTCGACTACACTGTTTATTTCTCGCGCTTGTTTTCGAAATCTGAATCTGAATCTGAATCTGAGTGCACTCTGGCCGCACCCGAAGGGTACGGCCAGATTGCACTCCTGATTCAGATTCAGATTCAGACTCAGAAAACAAAGCGCGAGAAAAAGCAAGCAACCTGCTTAGACTACACTGTTTATTTCTCGCGCTTGTTTTCGAAATCTGAATCTGAGTCTGAATCTGAGTGCACTCTGGCCGCACCCTTTGGGAGAAACACTGGGGAAGTGACATGGCCAAGGCGGAGACGATTAATCGACTTTATTGTATAAAGCTGTATCTTTAGCCTTTGCCAAAATTTGACATTGACATTTCT